TGGCAGCAAGGTCCTTGCAGGCTCACATACCAGCTCCCATAGAGCCCAGAGTGGTTATAGACAATCAGTAGAGGGTTCCCATTGTTTAAAATTCTGCATGAGTGTTGCACGTGTGGGCTCAGATGCGAGATTGACCTTGACTGGCCTTTTTACTCACTTATTTTCTATCTACTGAGAAAGAGTTGGTTGTTGAACAGAGCTAGTCTAGCCAGTCTGCCTGTCCTGGGCATCCCCTGTCTCCACCTCCTAAGTGCTGGGATTACAAGTGGGCTGCCAAGCCTGCTTTTATGCTGGTGCTAAGGATCTGAATTCTGGTCCTAACTCATGTGTGGTAGGTGCTTCAGCTACTGAGCCATCTCTCTGGATCCAGCTCGTTGTTTTTAAGCACTTGTGGTTCTCTGAAGGTTAAATGAGATTTCTTTGCAATGAGTAGAATTTCCCTGCTGGCCCTTGCCACAAACTTTAAAACCTTGATGCTTGTATAACATTACCAATGAGGTTCACTTTTAAGTTGGGCTAGTGTAAGTCATTCATGTAAGTAGCTTAAAGAGCCCAAAACCCCAGATCTTTCCCTTTAGATACCATGGCTTAATTCTTCCTTCTAGATCCACCAGTCTTTCAAGTACCTGGAAACCATAAGCCAATATATAAGCCAAGAGAAACACCGTTAACCTTGGCACTAAAGCATTTGTTACAGTGGCTGGCTATGCCCTGCTCTGCTAGGCACAGAGCAGAGTGAATCAAATGCACGTACCTCTCTTCCACGTGAAAGGACACATCCCACAGGTTTTGGAAAAGCTAAGATACATTCCAATGATAACAGATTTAAAACTTCTAAAAATAAATGTGTTTACTTTAATACCTGCATGTATGTGTGTGGGCTTTGTGTGTATGAAGTTCATAAGGAGGAAGAAAGTGGGTGTTGGCTCTCCTGGAACTGTAGATACAGAGAGTTGTGAGCTGCCATGTGTGTGCTGGGACCCAAATCCAGGTCCTCTACAAGAGCAACAAGCACTCTTAGCTGCTGAGCCACCCAGCTGGCCTTAATAACAGAACTTGCATATCCATAAGCGGCAGCAGAAGAAGTAACCAGCAGCAGATAATAAAGGGGGAAGGGAGGATGTTTGCATCAACTCAAGGAAGAGCTGTTGCATGGCATGTTGAAGTAAGACTGACTGTGCCTTCTCCCATGAGTCTGAGTGTCTATGAAGAGACGACATTTTAAAATGATCTAAAGAGATTGCTTGGAGAGTTCTGGTGACAGTAATGTATAGTTGTCATATGTATAGCTACATAGAGAGGCGAGCATTGAATAGTGGTGACACCTGAGCTGAGGCTTAGAGAAGGGAAGGGAGGGAAGGATTCCATGGATTGGAATAGATTGGTATGGGAGAGTAGGATCTTGGGAAGAAGTCAGGCCAGCGAGTGACTCAGCAGTTCTGAGAGCTGAGTGATGTGGGGCTACATTCAGCTGAACTCCCCGATTTCACTCTTGTCAGGCTCTGTGGGGCACAGGGTGAAGCTTTCATGGTCCAGCTCAGTGTGAAACACAGCCTTTCTCAAACATCCTTCTTTTCTGCAATCTTCCTGAGTCCAGGTTTATCTGGTGCTTAGATGATTCTGGAGATGAACTCAGACAAAGAAGCACGGCCTCATTTCTGACAAGACCCTCGGAGGTTTCACTGTGGTTCTCTCAGAGCCTTAGCCCTCGTCAGTATTATAATGTATGGCAGTGTGAATGAAATGGCTCCCATAGGCTCAAAGGGAGTGGCACTATGGGAAGGTGTGACCTCATTGGAGGAAGTGTGTCACTGGGGGTGGGCTTTGAGGGCTCAGATGCTCTAGCCAGGCCCAGTGTCACTCTCTCTTCCTGCTGTCTGATGATCCAGATGTACAGCTCTCAGGTGCCTCTCCAGCACTACATCTGTCTGCGTCCACCTTGCTTCCTACCCTGATCAGAATGGACTAAATGTCTGAATGTTAGGCCATCTCTAATCAAATAGTTTCCTTAGAAGAGTTGCTGTGGTAATGATATCACTTCACAGCAATAGAAACCTCAACTAAGACATAATATATATTATATTGTAAGTTTTTATGTACTGTTTGCATTCACCGAGAAGCAGGCTCTGTAAGTGGTTTTGCCCCCAGTTTCAAATCCAAGTGTATTTTTCTCATAGTGCCCTCCAAAGACCCTTTGCTGGGGGATGAGCTGCCCACTGCCCACTGCCCACTCTATGCCAAGCAAGGAAGAGAACAGCAAACAGTCCTAAAGTAAAACATTGTGCCTTTGAGAACAGGGCAAAAGGTTTACTGTTCCAAGAGGTGTTACCATTGCTTATCCATCTATGTTACAAATATGCCTGCACTGGGAATGAGAGGCCGAAAGGTCAGCTGTGCAGAGAAGGTTCAACCAGGAATTTCAGCTGACTGCTTCAGCTTCCCCACTGAGGTTCTGGGGAATGCTGAGTGTGCCCAGTTTGATGATGTTATTTCGATACATTGCTGCTGCTGCTGTTGTTGTAGTTGTTGTTGTTTACCCGGCAGGACGTCTACTCTGACCAGACTCTCTTAGTCAAGTTTTTCTATTAGGCTAGACTTGTTCCATGGACTCTTTTACTCTTTCAAAAACACTATGATTCCCTAGCAAGTGTGGTTAAAAATGTACGGCAGAGGCTAAATACTCATTTCATCCTAAATCATGGAACCAATCAGATTAACTCCGTAGTACTAAAAGGATGAGCTGATCTGAATGCAGCAACTAGCTGGCTAAATACATGACCATACATATTTATATCCAAAGCATTCTCTCCCGGGTGTGGTGGCACACACCTTTATTCCCAGCACTCGGGTGGCAGATCTTTGTAAGTTTGAGGTCAGCCTGGTCTATATAGTGAGTCAGAACAAAGGGTATTTCATAGTGAGATCTTGTCTCAAAAAATACTTTAAGATTATACTGTGTTTTTCACTTTTAGTTATTCTGCATGTCAAAGAAGGCAAAAGTGAAAATTTCAGTCTACAAATGAGTTTGTTAGTAGGGCTCACTGGCTCTCTATCGATTATCGGTTGCATCCCCTCTGACAACTCACCTAAGCACAGCTGGCTTCCAGCTCTCTTATTATATGTGGGAAGGAAGCAGCTGCTTACATTAGCACTGAAGCTAGAATGGCTGGAGGAATTAAATAGATGAATATATGGAAAGTTTTTAAGGAGTGCCTGATGCACACTAACTATTGAAGCATGTTCTGTATGATAGTGATATTGTTAATAATTATAATTGAAGAGGAATTCTCCTTAAGGTAGGATTAAGCTGAATTTGCTTTGGTCCACAGTTCCCAGGTGGGCAGAGTCTACGGATTAGCACTTTCTGAAACAGAAGAACACATAGGGGGTGTTGTCTGGAAGCAAGGCTTCTGCTACTCCACATGCCAGGCAGGCCCAGAGCTGAAGCTGCCCCAAGACACCAAATGTGAGGTCACAGCAGGGTGATGCCTACTGCCACCCAGCCCATTTGTCCCCAGTTCCAATAACTCCTCCAGATATGCATCACAGCTTTCGAAATTCCGTGTATCTGCTTACAAGCTCTTTGCTAAATACTATTCATTTTAAGAGATAGAGAATAAGTTCTTACAAAATTTAAGATGTTTCCCTCCTTCTAATTATGAAGGGCAGCCAAATAGTCCCCGAATTGCTGGGGAATGTTTTATAGACTGTGACGTTAAGAGAAGATAGAATGTGACCACATTTCCATCGACTTAATGGGTATTTTCAAACACAAATGAGGAAATCAGAAAGGTGCGTATTTTGTACATATACATTCTGTAAAAGGGTGTGGCAGTATCTGGGCCCAGTCACATCAACCATGCCTATGCATAGGTGGTTTCCAGTTAAATAAACTGTTGCTTTAGAATCATTGTCAACTTGTTATCTCATAAGAATTTAGGACAGGGATAGCAGAATAGCCTACACCAAGCTACTCTCCAGTATTAAAGAAAATAGATTCTTGCTGGTTCCTCAGAGGAAGTGAATCACATCTCGTGCACACTGGCATTAATATGGGAAAGTTGAACATCTGCAAGATTGAGTCTGGATTAGTTCCCTTGTCTTTACATTCATGAAATTATGTTTGCCCAGTGCTTCACCCACATGACTTTCTGTACACAAGCTGATACTATGAATGTGAACTTGAGTTGGCCCACAAAGAAGGACAGTTCAAGGAAGATGAATGAAGCTGACTCAAACATAATGACAGATCTAGGATGGTAATTGGCTCCGAATAAAAACATCTAAAGGAGGGGGTATATAGTAGGTTGTTATTCAGTAAGAAAAATCAAAACTGGTCTGTAGAATGCACAGCTGTGTACAGTGTCAGCCTCAGAGTCTGACTGAGAAAGGAGTGAAGAGTGATCTTTAGTAATATAGGCAGAAAGAGTCAGAAAAGGGCTAAGTGGAACTGTCCCCTCTAGGTGTGCTCCACACTCCCCACGGATGCCTGAAGCACAGGAAGTACCTAAATCTATATAGGTTACTGGTTTCCTATTCATGAATACACGCCTACGATAAAATTTAATTTATAAATCAGACATAGTAAGAGATTAAGAATAACTAATAAAAAGAGAACCCTCATGACAATACACTATAATAAAATTTATGGCAATGTGTTATTACCCACCCCTTTCTTGAAACACCTTGTTGGAATGCACCTCCTTCTCCCATAATAACGTGGAGTGATGAATGCTTGCCCGATGAGATGAGGTGAGGTCAGCGACACAGGTATTGTGATGTCGCACTAGACCATACATGAAGGCACTTAAACACAAACACTGTAATCCTATGAAAGCTAATTTGATAGCCGAATGGCTACCATGGGTAGGTAGCATATACAACATGGATGCACTGGTTAAAGGGCTCACCGAGATTTCATGTTAAATAGAGAGGAAGTGAGAAATTTCACTTAAAATGCTGTACAATTTAAAACTTACAAGTTGTTTATTTCTGGAAGTTTACATTTAAGATTTTCACACTGTGGTTGAAGAGGGTAGGTAGCCTGGACTCCAAAGCCTGAAACCACAGGTAGGGTGGCAAAATCTCACAGCCAAAGTTACGGAGTGATGGGGGAGAGCATGGTGCGTCTCTCACTCCCCACCACCGGAGGATTTGTGGAGGCTTAAACATGGCGCACAAATATGTCCCCCAGTGTATGAGAAATACTAATATGAGAGAGTATTTTTATTTTTCCTTTCCAGAGCTATGAAAGTGGGGGGCGGTTAAAAATATATTTTTGCTGTTATCATTGTTTCTTTCTTTGATTTAGGAATGCTGCCTTTGCAACAGGCGCTGTCTAAAATGAGCTTGGAGTGGTGTGAGAATAATTGTTCAGGTCTCTGAAGTGTTTATCTTTTCTCTCTCCAGAAAAAGATAATTTCAAGGTCTCCAAGTTACTAGGAATTCACCCTACCCAGCACAGAAACACTTTAATTTATATAATTTGGATTACTCTGTTTAAGTGTACGGTCTAGAGGCACAAAGAAATGGGGTGGAAAGTAGGCGAAGGTTGGTGCGCGGGGTTTAATGCTGCTGCTGCTGCTGCTGCAGCCCACTACAGCTCACCCACTCCTGTGAGATGCGGAGGAGATAGGGCGGTGTGTGCACACAGTGAAGCAATTTATGAATACTCAGCCATGAAATGGAAAATCAAAATGAGACACGTATGACTACAAGCATCTTGGTCTATTAATATTCAAATATTAAGACCTAGCCTTCTTAGCAAGACAGCTGGGTATTTACTGATCAAAAACGATAGCTTCGGAAGAGAAACATGTTTAAGAAACATTTCCACAGGATTTGATTGACATTTGGCTTGCTTAAGTCAGGCTAGTAGTTAACTAATTAAAATGTACTTCTCATCTGAATATGTCTTTAAATTTTAGATCCCTTGGAAAAAATTTCCAAAGTGCATTACAACTTCTCATAAGGGTGACACATGGTCTTATTTTCCAAAGACTTTGATTTAATATTTGCATGCAGTGGTATTTGACTTTGTTAGTATAGAGTATTTAAACATAGGAAGAAAATACCTTAATTTGCTTATGCATAAGCCTATTAAAAACATTTCTAGGGGCTCTTGTTATGTTTATCCTCTAGAACATAACCTGTCTTTGAAGTGGTATATTAGTTCTTAAAAAGTTATTCCCAAGCTGAATAATTAGACTGCAAACAAAAGCTATTCTTAGAGTGTATTCTGCATAGAAAGTTCTGCACATGGTGCTTTAATTCAAGTAATATTCTTATAAAACTCTATTATTGTTAGAGCTCTATATTCAGAATGGCAACTTTTGATTTTGATGATTATTCCATCCTGAAACAATTGCCCCCTTTCGAATTAAAGCAGAATTAGGAGCACATTTCTATCTGATGATGTTTAGAAATGAGGACCTGCTTGGTTGTGTTCATTTGTCTTTTCATGGAGGGTTTGGTGCCCCGCCTCCCACAAAGAAAATCAATTCCCTGAAGTTTCTCCTGGAAGAGAAAGGTTACTTTTGTTGTTTTGATCTTAGCATGTTGTGCATTTTTACTGGCTATTAAAAAAGTCACAGCTTCATCTGTTTTTCTGTTCTACTCTCATATTGTAAATCACAGAGTGCCTCCAGACCAACAGTAAAATGCCTATGCCCAAGCATTTAAAAATGGGTCCATCATCACAGTGGATAGGAAGACCAGGGTATAAGAACACCACCCAGTCATTTGATGCATGTGCTACAGACTGCTAAGAATAGGTTCATTCATGTTAGAAGGTTGATGCCAGCATTTGGATACATATTTCTCTCCTTTTTTGACCCCCTTAGCTTACATGCAAGAGGCTTCTTGGTTAATGCAACAGTTGGCTAGGTTATTGCTGCCACGGTATGTGCCACAGTGCCAAAACAGCTCTTTTCCCAACATTTAAAAAGCACATTGAGTTGTTTATACGTCTCCTTGAAATGATTTTCCAATAACTTTGTGCCAATTGCTGTCATACTCTTTGGTTAAGAAAAAAATCTTCATTCAATCAAGACAGCTTCACTTAGTTAAATTTCCCCCATACAGAGAATTGTAGGAAAATTACAGGAGTTGATTTGAGGCCATCATCATTAAATCAATGTAGGGCTTTAGAAAATGAATGCAAATTATAAATGTAGAGTTGTGTAATTAAACATCAAATAGTCCAAGTGATAAAAGTCATAGAGGCGCTGTCTTTCCGCTCTAGTCAGGTCCTTTAAGTACTGCCTTACTACTTGAGCACTGGTTCTTTCGTCAGACGAGTGCCTGTCCTTAAAGTTTGGAAATTTCAGCTCCTTTGGAGCACCAATCAGCTGCAGGAAGTAATTGGCATCTTCTTCTAATGTTTCAAACTTCCCTACGAAGTCGTAGTTAATCAAGCACGGATAACAGAGTTTGCTGACCTTTTCCCAGTGGATATCCATTCCAACCGGACGGCGAGCATCCAACAGATAGTAGACAAATTCTTTGAATTTTACTCCGGATCCATTATTTAATGCTTCCACACTGGCATTTGGTCGATATTTCTTTATAATCGCCTTTCCAAACACCGGATGATAGTAACTGTTGGGATGCTCGAATTTATCCCTAAATGCTGACACTAATCTTTCCATGGGATCTCGAACAAATACAACTTTGGTATAGGCTTTTAAACGCATGTCTATTCCTTTTAAGTCAAAGCTATCTAATGTTTTCAGATGTTTCCCATAGTGAACAGTGTCGTGGGAAATATTGTATGCAGAGGAAGCCAATCCATTTAGGACCATCAGAACCCTTTTCCAGTTAGAGCAGCCAGCCTTTGGCACTTCACAGTACAGAGTTCTGTGTTTGTCTTCCACATAGATTCTGGATACTATATGAAAAAGACTGGATTTGGGATCATTTAATCCACCATATTTCTTGCAAAACTCATGAAGGAATGACCGACGTTTCTCTTGGGTTGCATCTGCTTTCTTCCATTTTTTGCCTTGGACTGAACTTTTGTTTAAGGGCCGAGTGACTGGTGGCCAATTCATCTCAATGGGCTTCTGAAAGGCTTGAGGTTTAGCTACTTTGTGCATTTCTTTTGAGGTATCTGTTGATGACTGGGGAGCTCCATCCTCCCCTTGGGTATGGCTGCTCTTCCTTAAAACCCTAGTGGGTCCCCCCAGGTTGAGCAGATTTCCCCTTTTCTTCTTTAGGTCCCCAGGCATGTGCACCTTGGAGTTCTGTTAAAACAGGAAGAAGACATGTTAGATGCACATTCCCAAACATGAGGATAGTAGATAAAAACTTAGCATCTTTGTTTTCAGATGCTGCAGGAGACAGTACATTGAGTATAAACTAGTAGAAACAAGTCAGCAGGACAGGCTGAATAAACATTTTATAGTAAGATTTTTTTTCATAGAAAACCCAACAATAGAAAGCAAAAATTCATATCCTTAAGATGGAGATGAGAGGGCCCTGAAAGTTCTGTTTTGATTTTGTCTATAATGCAATGAAGTAAAACTCAGTCATTCCGTGTCTTAGTGATTCCTGAGACTCACCGAGTCTGTTACTCCAAGTAGTATCACTGAATGGACATGCAACCCAGCATTATATTTAGACAGCAATTTTTGTTGTTTTAGGGGTGGGCATTTTACAATATATAGAAGAATTTAAATTCATACATTACAGATTAAGACTTGTAGCAAGACTAATTATCAAACACTAACAATCATCTCGGTTTCATTAGCATTTACTAAAGTAATGTATTTGTTCATTTGAAAAATAATTCATTTAATATGATAACATGAGTTATAGTCACAATACTAGACAATTTTGTTCATCGATAAGGTTTTCCCATCTTCCCTACTTGGAGAAAGAGCAGAATCCAGATGATGTCTTTGATGACTTATTGTGCAAAAGCTGTTTTTTTTTCTAGCCTGACTTAGTAGTTCACTTTTCAAGTGGTTATCTTTGAATTATTTCCTTCCTACAACTTGCATTGTCTGGGAAGGGGAAGACATGAAACTTGGGTTTTATAGGCGGTATTTCTAACAAGAACAAAACTCTTAAAGACTTTGGCTTCTACTCTGAGTAAGCTAAGGAGCTGTTGGAGGGCTGTGGACAGAGATGGGCATGCTCTCGCTTAGACTTGGGAAAGACAGATGATAAATGTTTAGGGCCTTCAGTGCAGTATTGGAAAAGTTAACAGATAGGTGAGAGAGGGATACATGGCACCACCAGAGTAGAGATAGGAGAAGAGGGAAAACTTTCTGATAGTTGTTGTTTATAATTCCTGTGTCTACGATAGTCTATGGCTGATGGTAGTTGCCCTCAAATTTTGTGAATGAGTGAATGGACTTTGGTCTTCAAAGATAATTAAGAATTTTTTACTAATTAAGTGAAAGAGCAGAGAAATGCGTAGTGGAGTCCCCTTCAGATATAGCGGGGCTTCATGAACTTAAATACAAGATGGCCAAGAAGGGTTTGTTAATAATCTTTAATTACCATAAACCAGCCTCATAAAAGACCTGCTGCAAACTGTCTGCACTGTTGAGACAGCTCGCTGCTCTCTCGACTCTACAGCTGTTCTGCTATCTTTCCCAGAGACCGCCAGGATTCTTCAAAGCCCCGGTTCCTTCTTTGTTCTGATCAATGATTTATGGCCCAAAAAGTTGTTATCAATTTTATATGACTTTCCTGTACATTTGAAAGATCATAGAGTTATTGGCAGATGTGCATGAGGAATGCTTCACATAGGACTGTAACAAGCTGCCATGATTATTTTTATGTTACTAATGCCTCTATTATCACTACAAACAAAGACCATAACTATTGCTACTTCAGGAAAAGTCTTAACATTATTTTATCACCGTGGTAAAATGAATCTCAAGTTTCCTCAGTTGGTCATTACTATCCACACTGTGATTTGTGTGTCTCTGTATGCAACCTAATCAGTTACAATTTTGTTGCCCCACAAATGAACCCAAACAGAAAGAAACTCAGCCTTTTGCTGCGCCTCCAGATCTCCGTTGCCATCAAATTCTTCTATTTTGAGAATTCTAGAATGTTTAATTTTTTAAAATATTTTCTCTTATTAGAATCCCATATTCTGATAATTTCATTCTTTCTCAAGTAAATGAAACTTCATTATCTGGATCCATTTCTCCCTTAACAAAGAAGTAAGGGGCTATTCCCTTGTTGTCCAGTTTCCTTCCAGGAGAGCTTGAGAGAGACCTCTCTTCCTGTGAATCTGTGTTCACTGAAGTCTCTTTGCCGTACTCTTGTCCCTGGTCTCTGTCTTGGAGACCCTGGCTCCTAATTCAGATGCTGCACCTTTACTTCTGCTCTTAGCACTACACATAGTAATTAACACGCAGCACACTCAGCCTTCTATCCACCTCATCTTTAATAGACGTCTCCACTTCACACACATGAGTGACGCCTGAGCCCTCGTTTCTCAGACCCCCATTGCCTGACTATTCTCTCATTGTTTTTTCCCATGCCCAAACCTTTGTTGACTTGAAGTACATATTCAGGCTTCTGGCAGACAGCACAGCTGGTTCTTCAGCACTTAATTCTCAGGAAGTCCCTCTGTAACTAAGCTTTTCCAAGCACCCTCTTCTAAGCCGCGCTCCTCGCAATCCCCTCCCTGCTGGATTTCTTCAGAGCACAAAGAACCACATGAAATGACTTACTTCTGTCGTTTCTCTTCTTACCCCACCCCACCCATTGCTTTAGAATATTACCACCAAGGTCTCAATTCCTTGTTCTCTGTGGTTCAAGCAAGAGATAACACTGAATTAATAAATGTAGTTATGGCTTAATGGTGACTTCCAAAATTTATGGCCTTTATTAAAAAATAATGTTCATCAGAAGGTTCAGGTTGCCTTAGATAAATAATCAACTGATTTTTGTAAGGCACTGGAAAAAAAACCTGTGCTCAAACAACGCTTTGGCAGAAGAGCTACAGGAAGAGGCGTTTGTGCTATGGTGGGTACGAGGTTCAGCGCTTTGCTTGCCTGCCAATCAGATGGTTCTGAGTCACTCGGAGTTGCTTCGAGCCTCAGTTGGGCTTGTCAGCATTCTGGGTCCCTGGCTCTCACTGCTGACACAATGAAGCAGAACCTCTGTGGTTGAGGCTCCCAACTGTAACCAAACAATCTCTCCTAGAGTTCCATAGGCTGTGGCCGCATTTGGTGACCACGCGACTTCAGGGACAAAGGGAATTCAGAAAATAAAACTGTGTCTGAGGATTTCCTCTCTTCCTATTGGGAACGCTCTACAGTGGACTTGAATACTTTAAAGAGGAGACAGAACTCAAATGTAAGGTCAGATGACTTGTCAGTCTGTGAGTGGGACAGATTCAATGCTTCCTGTTCATCCCGCCTTTGTCAGATGTCCGTGTTCTCCAGGCAGCTTTAAAGTGACAAGTTCAACAACATGAGTGAAAGGCTCACCATTCACTAAGGGTTAGGTTTCTGACCCTTGATAGATTTTTCTCTCCACGCTAGCCAGTTTCTTGTACTCTGATTAAACTGAGGTACAGAAAAAGACTCATTCTCAAAAGTCAGATGGCAAGAGGCTCACAAAGTGTTCCAGTCTCCCAGAACCCATCACATCATTACTCTTTATTCTATAAAAGCTGTTATTAGGGCCTGGTGCCTTCCCCCTTGCCATTCTGCTCAGATCTGCCTCCTTCAATTCTAACCAAAGCTTGCCAAGAGTGAGGGATCTTAATATTAAACTATAATATGCATCAATGTAATACTAATATTAAAGTTAGTGGCATGCTCCCCAACAACGGCAACTGCAACAGGCATAAAAAGAGTGAAATCTTAAGTCAGCTTTTCCTTTGAATCCTCCCAAGCTCGTTAATATTTTTGATCAGGGATTTATACATCTGAGAGCCTTTGTAACAACGGGAAAGAAAAGTGACTATTTTCATCATGTCTGCATTCTTAAAAATTTATTTCCTATCTTTTATATACCCCTCAATACTGTGATTTCCTTTTTTGCCCGTGCCTCATTTCTTCTTCCTTGGGTATTCTGTTGTGTCTTCTCAACTTGTGTTGCTGCAAATGACTACCAAATTAGTCTTCCCCAGATACTCTCTTTTTCATGCTTTGACAGTTTGGACTGACTCTGCAAGATACACACTAAAGTCTTGATCCTCAGGCGGCATCTGGAGACTGCCTTTGTTGGGCCACTTCTCACTGCCATTTGAAGATGGCCACTTAAAAGAAATCCCACACTAGCTCAGGACTGTGTATAAAAGAGAGTTATTTATTTAGGGGTAGACTCATAGATTACAGTTCTCTGCACGAACAGGGAACAGGAACCTAATTACAATGCCACCGGAAGAGAGACCAGACTCATGCTTTACATTGGCATATATAGTATAAGAGGCCCTGCCCAAGTGGGCAGGTAACTTAAAGGCTACTGGCTGTAAGAATTCCTGAAGCAGCCATTTTCATCTCTCTTGACACCAATTTTCCCTCCATGTTCTTTCCTTCTCACTCTCGGCACCTCATACACTCTGTCCCTCTTTCTGGGACATTCAAGCTCTTCTAAATTAATACTTAATCTTAGCTTCCTTGTGAAAACCACCCCAACTTCTATCAAGAGGCTTCATTGCCTTCAAAGACAGTGAGTCTATACTATTTGACTTTTATAACTGGTGATAAAAGAGTCGGGGCCTGCTTGTTTGTCCCAGCTGCCTGGCTAGCTTATACACGAAATAACCATGCAGAAACCGTATTACATAAAACACTGCTTGGCCATTAGCTCTAACTTCTTATTGGTTAACTCTTACATAATAGTTTAACCCATCTCCATTAATCTGTGTACCACCACGTAGCAGTGGCTTGCCAGATATTCTAACCGGCGTCCATCTCAGGCAGAGGATCCATGGCTCCTCTCTCTTTGTCCCTCTTCCCAGCATTCAGTTCTGTCCTCTCCACCTACCTAAGTTCTGCCCTATCAGGCCCAAAGCAGTTTCTTTAACCAATGAAAGCAACACATGAACAGAAGAACCTTCTACACCAGTGTCCTGTTTTTTTTTTTCCAACATAGCATTATTAATTATTTGGGAATGTCACATAATGCTCTCCATCAGACTCAGTTCCCAGTCTTCCCATAGCTCTACTCTCCACATTTGTGGAGTTAAATAACGTCACACTGAATCTGAAAGTTTCATTCTTATTAATCATCCAAGATCACTAAATCAAGGATACCTCCTCTGGGAATTGTGCTCTCCACCCATCAAAGTTGCTGGGAGCCTTCCAAACATCAGGTGTGTGCTGGATGAAAAATCTAGGGCCCCCTGAGGAAGCCAAGGTTTAATAAGGTTGAAAATGAATAGTTTAAGAAAATATGTGGTAATTGCCATGGTGAAAGGATGCACCAGACATTTGGTGAGCAGTGAAAGTGTTACTTAATGTATCTGAAGAGATGGGGGCATTGCAAATAAAATGATATCTCAGATGAGTCTGAGATGAGGACCGGGAGAGCAGGACTGAGAAGGTCAGGGGTGTTGTGGGATATTACTTTTACTTGGCAAAGATTACAGTTGTTAATGCTGCCTTTGTTGAACGATGTAAAGATGGGTTGCTTTGCCTGACTAAGGCACTGGATTGGTCTAATAAAAAGCTCAATGGCCAATAGTGGGGCTGGCAGGCAGAGAGAGTAAGTAGGAGGAGGAATCTAGGCTTGAGAGAGAAGGAGGAGAAACGGC